AGCTTTTTTTTTTTTAAAGAATATGACTCTGAATATAATATGAAATTATGCAAATCTAATCTAATATTGAAAAAGTACGACTGACTGACTGTTTGATTAGTACAAGGACACGACAGAGGCCACCATAGCTGGTGTCAGAAGCATAGCCGACTCTTGCCTCCGGTCAAAGACAGTCAAACGGCTCGTCTACACGTCGTCCGTGATGGCAGCCTCGCCTCTGAGTGAAGACGGGTCGGGTTACAAACCTCAAATGGACGAGCTCTGTTGGACTCCTGTCGGCCTCTCATTCGATTATGGCAACGAATTCCTTTTGGTAAGAATTATTCTTACGTACACATCACATCAACTTTAATTCACTTTCATCCACTCACATAATTTTAACTAACCATCACTTCACATAATCTCTCACCTACTTTTACACTAACAATTAACTATACTACTTTTTTTTAAAATTAACTTTGGTTAAAAAAAAAAAACAATCAAATCCATATCAATCACATGCCAATTATAGTAATGTAGAAAAAAAAAATGTCTAGCTATAATGATTTGTATTTGTGAAGGATTATATTAAGTCAAAGACACTATCAGACAAGGAGATCTTGAGGTACAACAATATTAGAAGTAGTAGTGAAAATGGTGTGGATTTAGAGGTGGTTAGCTTGTGTAGCGGTTTCGTCGGGGGAGAAACGATTCTCCCGTACATGTCGTCGAGTTTGCCGAGCATGCTGTCTTTAATAACAGGCCATGAATTTAGTTTAAACTCGTTAAGGTTCATGCAAGAGTTGATGGGTTGTATTCCTGTGGTGCACATCGAGGATGTTTGTGACGCGCATATTTTCTGCATCGAGAAAGGCTCGTTGAGTGGCCGGTTCTTGTGCGCGGCCGAGAGCGTGACGATCGAGGATATGGCTAATTGCTATGGGGAGATTTACCCTGAATTTCATATAGAAGAAGGGTGAGAAAATTTTTCAATATACTTTAATTTATTTTCTAGTTTTTGCATTTATATATTGAAATAAAATTTGTGTGACTAACTTAATAGATTAATGAAACCCTTATGATGAGATGTTGTCAACTTTTCAGATTGAAGAGTGGGCCTATTGGGAGAAGCAAATGTGAGCTATCAAAGTTGAGAAAAGAGGGGTTTGAGTTCAAGTATGGATTGAAACAAATACTAAAGGATAGTGTGAAATGTGCAAAAAGGTTGGGGTTTTTACAAGAATTTGCCCAACTTTGATGGGAAATTTTACCCTAACGTGACTGTGTTTTTTTTACCGTTGGATCAACATATATATATCCGTATGAGTGTGCGTGTGTATGTTGAGTTGATCTGACGGTAGAAAGCTCGATAACTGGTGTACAGACAGTACAGTCATCGATGGGATCCAACGAACCAACTTTGAGAAGTCTCTATTTGGACATGATCATTGTACAAGTATTATGAGAAATGTTTTGTATTATTTTGCTAGTTATCTGAATCAAACACACTCACATCCACAAAATTATGTCTTTCTACTAGTCGATGATTTCGCTTTTGTGGTATTTATTTGGATCAGTTGTG